GGGTGGAGTCTGACGCCAAGTAACCTCCTGGGCTGCCTCCAGTGTCCTCTTCCCGGGACAGGCCTCCGGGCCTTTTCTCTGTGGGGCGGAGGTCAACACCCCCTTCTGTTAGCAGCCAGGACCTCAGCCGCTGTACCAGCAGGGCCCTGCGCACACCGGGTGCTTTAGAAAGGGCGGGACAGAGCGAGGACACACTGCAGACAAGGATTTCCCACGCTGGAGATGAGCAGGGAATGCTCCAGAGAGTGTCGGCCTAGAGGCTCGCCAACCCTCAGCCCGTTGAACCCAGTCTTAAACAGAGCTGTGCTCAGGGATGATCAGAATTAGGTTTTTTCAAAATTCTGAGTTCTCCTTTGATCAAGCAGCACCTGCCTCCCAGAGTGGCAGAGACTCTGCATGCCAAGAGGATGCTGAGTGGCTCTGACCAGCCATGGTGCAGGAGCACCCAAGGGCTCCCTCAGGGGCAGGAGAATGGAGATAGCTCCACCTCCCACCCCCACGGGGGACTCAGAGGGGTTGGGCGTCCCATGGCTTAGGGAACGGCCACGGTGCAGGCAGGCCCCCACGCCCCTCTCCAGCTTGCCATCCTGCAGATAATTGGGTGCTCTTTCATTTTTCCCCCTTCAAAGAGTTGGTAGGGATGAGAGAGAAATGAGCTCATTAAGACTCAGGGCATGCACACACTCTCATTTCTAAATGAAGATTGCTTGGATGCACCAGGCCAGGTCTGGGCAGTAGCAGGGCCGTGTCCTCTTCTGCTCGCACTTGGTCACCTGCTTCTCCAAGTGGTGGGAGGACAAGCACAGGGTGAAGGGCAGGGAGCTGAGGCACCTGGCCTGAGGGGCCACACCCCAGCTTGCTCCCACAGGACCTCACTTTATACTTCAAAGCACTGTGCTCTAAATGTTGACCCACGAGCCCGGGGCAGGACTGTCTGACGGACTCGGGGCTGACATAGCAAGGCATGGAATCCTCCTCGGCTAGACTGTCCACCGGTGGCCCTCAGGACAAGGTAGGCTTGCATCATGGATGCGTGCAATTAAATCACATTTTCACTCGCCTCTTTTTGTAACGATAAAGGACCAAATCAGTGAAAAAGAGGAAGACCGGCCAAGAGAGGGTCAGAGACAGAGCACTGCTCCACGGGCTCACTATGAGTCAGCTTCTGCCCAACAGCTAGGACCACCCACCAGCGCCATTTACAGAGGCAAGGGGCTGCCTCAAACCAGATCCTTTGTTTCTGAGTTTTAAGATATGCAAATGAGGCCCCTTCTCCACTCCCTGTGGACAGGGAAAACACCCAAGCTCACTGCCATGGGGTCCACCCCAACTCCGAGAGGACCCTCAAGAGGCTTTCTGAGGAGCCCTGGTGGCATCGTGATTATGAGTTGGACTGCTGACCACAAGGTCCGAAGTTCGAAACCAACAACCCCTCCTTGGGAGAAAGACAGGGCTTTCTACTCCCATAAAGAGTGATGGTCAGTCTTCAGGACGGCATAGAGCTGACCCAGTGGGTTTCAGAGCCCTGGAATCAGCATGCCCTAGATGGCAGGGAGTGACTGCTGGGTTCCTTAGACTGCATCTTTATGGGGGCAGCCAACCTCATCTCTCTGTAGAGCAGCTGGTAGGCTTGAACCTCCACCTTGTGTCCCATGACTGTCAGTGCAGAATTGATATTGAAGTCTTAACCTTCTAATTTGCTATGGCCTACCCAGAGGGCATTGCAGCACAGCAATTAGGACAGCAGGCGTTGGTGGAGGATTAACGAGCGATTAGGGGGCCGGAGCCTGTGACCTGCTGGCACCCTTGATGTCATCTCTCCTGGCTGGCCATCCATCAAGACTCAACAAATGACTTGACCCTAATTATGACAACAGCAGGCTCGGGGGGCAGGGGCTCTCAGAGGAGAATGCCCTCTCCCTACATGGGTCCTCGGAGAGGCTCCGTTGATGTAGGCGAGGGCGAATGCCTGATTCCAGCGCAAGTGGTGGCAGGGACACGTCCTGGTTGATGCTCATTATTTTCAAGAGGCACAGGAGGTAAATCAATTCTGCAAGCTGCCAGCGCCTTGAAGTGCTGCCTGGTCCTCCGTGCTTGTGTGTGTGCTTGTGTGTGTGTGTGTGTGTGCACACGCGCGCGTGAGTGCTGAAGAGTTTTATGCGCATGAGGCTCGGGAGCTGAACTGAAGGGGTGGGCAGTCACAGTGCCGGCTGGCCTGGAAACTGCCAAAAGTGCCAAGCTGTTCATCACTCAGCCAACGGGGACTGTGTGCCCTTTCCTCGCTCTGTGCCCGGCTCAGGAATTCACGCGAGGGCCGGGATGCCTCCCTCATTATCTTGCAGCACAGCCAGGCTCTGGAACAGATGTCTGCTGGGCCACAGTGAGCCAGGAAGCCCTCGTGGTCCCATGGCCCCTGCATCCCTCGACTTGACGGTCTCAGCTGTCGCGCACTTTCACTTCAGAGGAGCCCCCTCCTCCTCACGATCCTCAGCCTTCTCCTCCTGTCCCTGTGCTCTGCAGGGGTCCTCCCCGGGCACTCACAGTCCAGTCTTCCCTTCCCTGCCCCGAGGGGAAGGGCCAGCGAGGACAAGGAAGGAGGAGATGTTAGAGACCCAGAGGGGGTACACACTGCCTCTCGGCCTTTCTCTCTGCCTGCTTCCTTTCTCCTACAGTGGCCACGAGAGAGGCCCAGCTCCAGGAAGGCAGAGGAAGAGGGGGAGGCCAGGGGGTCCTCGCCCCAGCCCTGTTGGAGATCATGCCTGCTGGGACAAATTGGCACCTGGCGGGGGACTGTACAAGTGCTCCATCTGACAGTCTTGCAGATTCCAATTCCAAGATGAGACTCTAGCACAGCAAGGTGGTGGTGGGCTGGTTTTCTCTGGAGGCTCCTGTACCTTCCTGGTGGCGTCTAGGGGATTCTCACATGGTCTGACGCATGCCCCCTCTACCTCTGCCACAGCCAGAATGTGGCACCTTCCAATCTCTCCCTGACTCTGGTCCTCAGCTCCTCTGTGCCATTACAAAGACCCCCAAGACTACCTTGAGCCCACCCTGACCAGCCAATGTTATTATTTCGTGATAAGCATGCTTGTAATTACAGTGAACCCCATCGACCACCCCATGGTGTGAGGTCCCATCCAGTCAACAGAACAAAACACTGCCCACACACCATCCCGGCCATTGTTCTAGTTCAGCCCCTTTGCAGCGACTGGGTCAAGCCATCTCCTCCGTCCAGCTCTCCCCCGCCTCACTGCCCTCTCATTTTAGTAAGCACGAAGTCCCCAGAAACTGGTCTCTCCTGACAACACACCCTGAGCACATGAGCTGGTCTCCCCGCCCTCGGTTCTTCTGTGCTGCTTCTAAGAAAGCCGTGCTTTCCACTCCATGCCAGTACCCGGACGTCACACGGCTGAGAGGGGATGGAGAGCCTCAGGGCGGGGGCGCCTCAGGGCGGGGGCGCCTCAGTCCTCACAGGGACATCCTTGCTGGTTGACACGCCAGCGAGGTCTCAAGGAGAGTCACATTTCTGGGCTGCTGTTTCCAGGAACATTGATAGTGCCTCCAAGAAAGATGAGCCCCTGGATGACCCCAGGCCAGCTGTGAGGACGGTGTGTGTGTGTGTGTGTG